CTGCAGATCTGAGGAGCTAGGCCGGCTCAACAGAAGCCGTCGAAGAGACGCGGATCCAGTGCGAAAAGGTGAAGGATTCCTGATACGGTCAGGAACGTGTGCTTAGGGTGTCGCGGCGGCGGCCCTGGCGACATGCTATGCCCTGCAAGCGGATAGCGTGCCGCCCGGCTCCGCGGGGCGGGAGGCTCGGAAAAGCTCGGGCCGTTGACGTCGACGCATGAGGGACGTGGATGGATGGCGTGTTGCGCCGAAGTGTGATGGGCCAGAGCAGGTGGAGCGACACGCTGGCCAAAGTTTCCCACCGTACTCGGCGCAGCTGTTTAATCACCTACACAGGCTACCTATCCTTCGAGCTTCGCGCCGCGCGAAGCGCGAAACGTGGGGCGCGAGTGCCTCCGCACGCGTTTCGCGCCGCCCCCCCTGAAGGAGGGCAGCTGTCGGGCCCAGGCCGCATGCGCGTGGCTTGGTGCTACTGCCATCCGCGGGACGCTGCCGAAAGGTCGGCGATAGGCCCCCGGCAGAGCAACCGCGTGCCCCTGGGCGAGGTGGTGCACCCAAGCCCTGATCGGCGATGACGGGGCGGCTTGCGGTCGAAGCTCCCCCCTCCGAGCCATCCCCTCATTTTCGGCGCCCCCGATCCTCCTCCTCCTCCTCCTCCTCCTCCTCCTCCTCCTCCTCCTCCTCCTCCTCCTCCTCCTCCTCCTCCTCCTCCTCCTCCTCCTCCTCCTCCTCCTCCTCCTCCCTCCTCCTCCTCCTCCTCCTCCTCCTCCTCCCCTCCCTCCCTCCCTCCCTCCCTCCCTCCTCCCTCCCTCCTCCCTCCCCTCCCTCCCTCCCTCCCTCCCTCCCTCCTCCTCCTCCTCCTCCTCCTCGTTCTCCTCCTCCTCTCCTCCTCCTCCCTCTCCTCCTCCTCCTCCCTCCTCCCTCCTCCCTCCTCCCCTCCTCCTCCCTCCCCTCCTCCCTCCTCCTCCTCCCTCCTCCCTCCTCCTCCCTCCTCCCTCCTCTCCCTCCTCCTCCTCCTCCTCCTCCTCCTCCTCCTCCTCCTCCTCCTCCTCGTCCTCCTCCTCCTCCTCGTCCTTCTCCTCCTCCTTCCACCCCTCCGCCTCATCCCCCTCCTCTGCAGGCTTTCTCGCTCGACCGCCCCGACTTGGCCGCGGTGGCTCAGCGTTGCTGTTATGTCTGGTGCATTTTCGGTTTCGTTGACGACTCGATTTGAGTTGTGGTTTCTTCCTCCTCCTCCTCCTCCTCCTCCTCCTCCTCCTCCTCTTCCCCCTGCTCGCCCTCTCGTCCACAGAACCAGCGGCCCATCCCGAGCCCTCCTTCGACCATCTCGGACGCTGGACATGGCAGAAACATTCCTGTCTCGATCTTGTCGCGACGCGAACGTGTCCATGCTCCCGGGGTCAAAAGTCAGAGGGAGGAGGGAGGAGGGAGGAGGAAGGGAGGAGGGAGGAGGGAGGCGGGAGGAGGGAGGAGGAAGGGAGGAGGGAGGAGGGAGGAGGAAGGATGGAGGAGGGAGGGGGGAGGAGGGAGGAGGGAGGAGGGCACCCCCTGACCCCTTCTGGGGCGCGTTCTGGCCAGGATCTCGATCCAGATCCAGCCCCGGCGACGAGGGCGCACCCGAACACGAAGGGCCCAGGCAGGGCGACGAGCGCCATCCACAAGCCTTGATCCTCGAACGGCGATCCTCCTTCTCCGACTGTGGAGGAGGAGGAGGAGGAGGAGGAGGAGGAGGAGGAGGAGGAGGAGGAGGAGGAGGAGGAGGAGGAGGAGGAGTAGGAGCGAACGTACCTTGAGGCGGCCACGTCTGTCAGCCCCGCACACGCACACGCCTGACTAGAGAGAGGCGGCGCGCGAGAGACGGCGGACAGCGGCTCAACGCCACAGGAGAGATTTCGCTGCGGCCATCGCTGCAGCAATGTTTGCTGGCGACGGCGCTGCGTACTGCTTCAGTTTGTTGTACAAATGGAAGGCCAGCGCGATCCTGCGAATCGTCTGCCGCAACGAGAGGTCGCTGGCAGGCTCGGAAGGGTACGCTGCTGCGGGGCCCAAGCCCCAGGTCGTATATGTGCTGAGGAGAGGAGCAGAGTCGGGGGACCACAGGAGGCTCAGGAGGACAGAGCAGGAGAGGTAGTGGGGAAATGAGTCGGGCGCGTTCGGGCACCCGAACACGCACGAGCGCTGGGCGAGCACATGCATGCGGTGGGCGGTGGTCCACCCACCACTGAGCGATTTGAAAACCGCCCAGCGCCAGCTGGGGCGGACCTCTCCGAGCGCTTTTGTGAGAGCTGTCCAGCGGCAGGAGAGCTCTGGTGGAGGTGGCGGCTGCTGAAGACCCCATGCTACGAGGCGCTTCGTGAGAGTGACGGTGAACGGCGACGAGAAAAAGGCACGCTGCAGAGCGAGCGCGACCACCGTCTGTACCTTCGGGCGACGCGGCGGGTCGGCAGCAGGCGCCTCGCGAATTTCGGCTCGTGCAGCGCGGTTCGCCAGGGCCACGGCTGCTGCTGAAAATGGCGAGACACGCTGCCCGCAAGACAGGGCATGGTAGAACTGCACGATGGACGAGGTCTCTTCCCAGAAGGGGGGAGACCAGCGCCCTGCTTCCCACCGAGGGAAGGAATGGACCGTGCTCTCCTCCCAGGCGGTGTCTCACAGACGGTGGAAGAATGGCCCCCATTATCCACGGAGTGTAAAAGTGGCTGCACGGATGGCGGCGGCGACAGATGCGACTTGAGCTGAGCGAGGGACAGGTGGCGGGCTCCATTCCGCCATCGAGATGAGATCTACCCTCCGAAAAGAGTTGGGCGGCATGCTGAGCATTTTGTGGAAGACGTAAAGTTCACGGCGAGCGATCTTAGAGTCGAGCGGGAAGAACTTAGCAACGTAGCTGAGCGTGGACAAGACGGAAGTGTTATATATGCGAACGGTGGCATCACTGCCAGACTGGACGAGGTTGAGCAAATTACCGCGCTCCCACCACTTTTGCCCTGGGGCGAGCCATTGAATGGCAAGGGAGGAGGAGGGTCCAAGGAGGGCCCCGAGGTACTTGGCTCGCCCCGAAATCGTGAAGCCACCCCAGGAAGGACAAAGGTCGGCCAGGAGCGCTTTCGTTTGGGCGGTGGTGGCAGGAGAAACAGGCGCCCACAGGGGCACGACTACACACTTGCGAGGTTTGAGCGAGAGAAGCGCAAGCTCCTCGGCGGCAGAAAAAGGCTCAGATGCCTTGCGCAGCGTGTCGAACGAGAATGTGAGCAGGCCAGTGTCGTCCGCGCAGACGCCGAGGTAGCCTTTGTCGTAGTCGGGCGTGCCGTCGGGGTGCTCGATGAAGGAGGCGATGTGGCGGACGAGCGGGTCCATCGCGATGGCCCATGCCGAGCCACTGGCGGGGCAGCCCTGCGCGACGCCCGACTCGATGGCGAACATGAAGCGGCGGACCTTGTCGACCTTGAGGAAGCTGTTCGGCGCGCGGCACAGGTTGCGAAAGAGGCTCATGAGGCCGATGGGGACCCCGAAGCGCTCGAGTGCCGCAAAGAGCCAGGCCCGACCCAGGGACGGGAACGCTGCCGCGAAGTCGAAGCTGGTGAAGACAGGGTGGTGATCAGCAGCATCGGGACGTATCCCAGCGCGACGCATTTCGGCGCCGAGAATGACAATGTGCTTGGTGAAGTTGCGGCCGACTGCGAAACCCTGCTGCGCCTTGTGAGTCCGCTCTGCCACAGCGGATTTGAGGAGGAAGTTGGCGGCGCCAGCGATGGCCTTGATATCAGTGTTGTTGAGCGAGAGCGGGCGCGTGTCCTCAGGCGCCCTGTCGGTCTGCATCTCGCCGACGAGGTTGTCCCCTTTCGGCGGGAAGGCGAAGTCAGAGTCGTTCAGGTCGTGGATGAAGTGAGCGTTCGAGCAGAGGTGGAACGAGAGGTCCTCGAGCAGGTCCAGCGACGAGTCGCGGGCGAGCCAAGCGCGATATGGGAGGCAGTCAGGGCCTGGAGCCGACGGCGAGGTGCGAGCCAGGAAGGAGCGGATCTGCCTCTTGGTCGGCGCGCCCACGTCGATGGCGGCGCCCAGCGGCATGTGCTCGGAGATGCACTGCGAGACCTTGTCGGCATCGACGAGCTTGCGCGCGAAGACGGGCTTCCAGTAGGTGCGAAGGGCGTCCGCCATATCGCAGCTCTCTCTGGCGACCCCAGGGGGGCCATCAGGGCCCGAGATTTTGATTCCCTGGAGGACCGGACGACGCTTCCAGGGGGCCCAAAGGAGAGCCCGCCTCTGCGAGGCGCGCAGGATTCGACGGAGTTTCTCGGGCTCGAGGGCCCCTGCCGCGCCAGGGGATCGCTGGGCAGCTCTTTGTGCCAGAGAGCGTTGCCGAGCCTCGAAGTCGCGGTGCAGCGCGGCTGTCGTGGCAGCGAACTCGGGCCGGTTGATGATCGTGATGAGGCCGTCGGTAATCGAGAGGTACTCGGCGCCAAGCTCGGTGGTAGACTGAAGACGACGAGCGAGAGCCACGTCTTGGCGCCAGACCGCGCGTGAGATCGAACGCGACGTGGGGACACGGCCGTCAGCATGGTTGGATTTGTTGCCTTCCCCGGTGGAGCTGACCCAGTCGTCGCGGACAAGCCTCGCAGCCTCGACCATGAGGCGCTTGTGCGAGCGCCAGCGGTTCTGGATGGGGACGTGCTGAGTCTTGGTGCGGGTGATCAGCTGGTCCAGGTACTTGGCGTAGTTCGGGTCGCGGAAGATCGCAGGAGGGGGTCGCCTGGTCGTCCGACGGCGTGCGCGGCTTGATGCCGATGGTGTAGGAGATGATCGCGTGGTCGCTGAGGAAGGAGTCTGACAGGATAGCAGGATCGTGTACGATGCTGAGCTGCGATGTGAGCTCGAGCATGGCATGGGACGGCAAGCTGATGAAAACGCGGTCGATCGCCGAGGCGGAGAAGTCAGACTTGTTGAAGCGGGGCGGTAAGTCGGATTCGATTTCGAGCATGGTGTCGAAGAGTGCTTTCCAG